CACTTGCGGTCCCAGGATAATGACACACTGACACTTGCGGTCCCAGGATAATGACACACTGACACTTGGGGTCCCAGGATAACGACACACTGACACTTGCGGTCCCAGGATAACGACACACTGACACTTGGGGTCCCAGGAAAATGACACACTGACACTTGGGGTCCCAGGAAAATGACACACTGACACTTGGGGTCCCAGGATAATGATACACTGACACTTGGGGTCCCAGGATAATGACACACTGACACTTGGGGTCCCAGGATAAGGATACACTGACACTTGGGGTCCCAGGATAAGGATACACTGACACTTGGGGTCCCAGGATAATGACACACTGACACTTGGGGTCCCAGAATAATAACACACTGACACTTGGGGTCCCAGGATAATGACACACTGACTGACACTTCGGGTCCCAGGATAATGATACACTGACACTTGGGGTCCCAGGATAATAACACGTTTATGGGGGGAAATAGTGGAATAGGCATAAAAGTAATGGGTGATTATCACATGCATGGCGAAGGGGTCCTGCATGGCCCCGAAATGTTGCAGTTCCTTGCTGTGATGTGATCTCTAATAAAAAAAGTTCGGACTTTGTCTGAAGATCTGTTCTGTGCTTCCAGATAGAGCATTGTAATCATTTTAAATAGCATACTGAGTAAGGAAACAGTTCCTTTAAATAATTAACTCAACAAGACAATGGATCCACAGTATAATTGTTTATACAAAGGAAAGGGGGAGAGGCCGTCAGCTTGCACCTTATAATGCAGATCGATGAATGTTTCTGTTTGTTGACTTTGATAAAGCGTGCATTCCACCATAGAGTCCATTGCATATTAATACTCCGCGTTACTCCGAGCCGAAGTACATTCCTCCGTGCCCCGTGGAATTACAATATGTAGGAGAGAAACAAATCAAATATTTATGTTCCATCACACTGGAGCACTTTGTTTAAATACACAATTGAAGCAGAACAAGGCTTTTAATAACAAATTCTATCCATGCCAAGACGATGTCAGAATTTAAAGGAGAACTACTATGCAGGTGGGGGAAGTATCGGGGTACTTTACTGGGACCTGTCCCATTTCATAGAGGCTTATTGGGCCTCCCTACTAATGATTAGGCAAATTGGGAGTTAATGCTTTGCCATAATTTTGGCAAAACATTAGGAAACTTCAAGCAAATTTTTACCATTTCAGTGAAATACATTGGAGTCAAAGGAAAGGTGAAAAAAGGGGACTTTTGGTATTTTTTTCAAAAATGCAGTATGATTTAATGGGTTGGGGCTCTGTTCAAATATCCTTGACTGGTGCCCTAAAAATTGGCTCCATTTTTAGCAGAGAACATGACACTAGATATTGAGAAACATACAGTGCTGTGAAAATGTATTTGCCCCCTTCATGGTTTTTTTTTTATTTGCATATTTAGCAAACTTAAATGATTCATACCTTCAAACAAATGTTAATATTAACCCCTTGCCCTCCAGAGGACTTACCTCCCTTTCTGACCAGGCCATTTTTTGCGTTACAGCGCTGTGTTATTTTAACTGACAATTGCACGGTCATGCAACGCTGCACCCAAATGAAATGTATGTCCTATTTTCCCCACAAAATGGAGCTTTCTTTTGGTGCTATTTGACCGCCTGTGCGGTTTTTATTTTTTGCGCTATAAACACAAAAAGACCGACAATTTTGAGAAAAAAACAATATTTTTGACTTTTTGCTATTAAACATGTTCAATAAAAAATTTAAAAAAAATCAAATTTCATCATACATTTAGGGCAAAATGTATTCTGCTCCATGTCTTTGCTAAAAAAAAAATCCCAATACGTGTAAATTAATTGGTTTACGTGAAAGTTATAGTGTTTAAAAATGGTGGTATATATACTGGAATTTTTTTTTTCACTAGTAATGGCGGCAATCAGCGATTTATAGCGGGACTGCGGCAGGCATTCTGACACTGGGGGAACTGACTTGGTGTCACTGACATCCCCAGTGACACCAATACAGTGATCAATGCTAATAAAAAGCACTGACACTGTACTAATGACACTGGGCAGGAAGGGGTTAACATCTAGGGCAATCAAAGGGTTAACTGTGTGCTGTGTGTGTTTTACTATGGGGCTGTTTCACAAGATATATACACAGGGCGGGGAAACACAACCAGGAACAGGAAACACATCATCAGCCCGCCCCATCAGTGGGAAGGGCTACAGGAAACACCCCCCACCCAACCAAGACACAGAACAATGGGATACAGCACATGGCAGAGAACAATGGACAACCACCTGGCAGTGAACAAAGGACAATCCCCACACCAATACACAATACTAAGACATTCCCACAATGTACCCCTTAATTTGGGAAGATGATACAAGGGTCCCTCCACCCCTAAAAGTCACTTCCATCACACAATATATCATACATACTGTACCCAATGTGTGTTTTTTGTTGTTTTTTCTTAAATATATATATGTATGTATTAAATCGCGACATTCCTCTTAAGTGGGGTTGCAATGGCTTTGTTCTGTAACGTGAAACGTTTTCTTGAGACACATTTTTTAATCCTCTTTTATGAAACTTGCTGAGTGTCTATCAAATTCCAATCAGGAGCCAATATGTCATCCAAATCAGCAACAAATTTCGCCAATGGGACTGCCTTTTACCTTTTCATGGGTTTATAGAGTACCTTGGTTAGTCTCCTCCTCTTTTATGCAAGAAAGGCCAAAGCTTTCTAGTGGAAAAAGCCCTCTCCTCCATCCCTCACTTACTGGAAACAACTCGTTAATAACAGTTTACCGCTCTACAAAGATACCTATGCCAACAGAGGCTGCCCTAAGAAAAATGACAGGGTATGGTCTAAATGGCTAGCAGAGCCTTCCAGTGCTTCTGAAATGCCCACGGAGTGATGCCAGTGATCTTTCTGTACTAATATACACTAACTGGCTATTTTATTAGGCACACCTTGCTAGTGGCAAGAAAATATCCCCCAACTCCATGACACCACCACCACCACCCTGAACCATTGATACAAGGCAGGATGGATCCATGCTTTCATGATGTTTACACCAAATTCTGACCCTACCCTCTGAATGTTGCAGCAACCAGTCTGCCCATTCTCCTCTGACATCAACAAGGCATTTTCCTCCACACAACTGCCGTTCACTGGATATTTTCTCTTTTTTGGACCATTCTCTGTAATACCTAGAGATGGTTGTGCGTGAAAATCCCAGTAGATCAGCAGTTTTTGAAATACTCAGACCAGCCCGTTTGGCACCAACAACCATGCCACATTCAAAGTCATTTAAATCCCCTTTCTTCCTCATTCTGATGCTCCGTTTGAACGTCAGTAAGTCGTCTTTACATGCCTAAATGCATTGAGTTTCTGCCATGTGATTGGCTGGTGAGCAATTTGTGTTACCAAGCAATTCAACAGGTGTACATAATAAAGTGGTCGGTGAGTGTATGTGCTTTCCTCTGCTGTAGAGACATCCCTTTCGTATTGTCCATTTATCCTTCCAGTTTACTCTCGTGGTATTGTATGGGTACAACTGTCAGGGTGAACCATGCCTTATGTTTCAGAGATGTCGCCCTCCCCTGCCTAGGTTTGCTAATCCTTGTGTCTTTTATTACTCCTTCACCCCTGCGAAGGTTCCATCGCTTTGAACCATTGTTTGTTCTCAATATTGTGTGCTTTGTTCATGATGCCAAATCTTTATTAAAAATAAAACAAAACAGAGATCAGAGATCAGTGTGAACAGAGATCAAGAGCTGAAGGGTAAAGCCAAAATACCTTTTTTTTAACCTTTGGATGAAATTCGTCACCAGAACAGGAGTTGAGGGTGAATCATAGAAGAAGAACGCCTGTTCTAGAGGCAATGAGGGGGACTTTGGAGAGATTTCTTCTCCCTTCCTGTTGTGTCACTGGAAGAGGAAATTAAGAGAAATATTCTTAAAGACAGGAAAAAAAAACCTGAGAGGGACTTTAAAGTGGGGTTGGGGGGGGGAGGGGGGGGGGGGGGGGGGGGGGGGGGGGGGGGGGGGGGGGGGGTGGGGGGAGGGGGGGGGGGGGGGGGAGGTGAGGAAGGGGGGGGGGTGGTGTGGAGGTGAGCAGAAGGGGGTTGGGCTACAGAGGTGAAAAGAGGGAGGAGATCAGGGTACAGAGGTGAGCAGAGATATAATTTTGGGATATGAAGGTGAGCAGAGAGGGGAACATTTTGCGCACACTTCCTGATGTGTAGTAGTGCATACCAAGTCTTAAATAGGGTGCCTTGAGAATGAAAATAGTTTTCAAGGGCGCCCTGATTGGAAAAGGGTTGAGAAACACTGGCCTAAGCTATTACCAATGTCTTTGCTACAAGTTACCCACCAGTATCTGCTGATACTCCAGACCAGGGGCAGACTGGCAACTCATGGGGCCCCCGGGCAATAAGGGATCATGGGGCTCCTGTGTCCTCGCCCACACCCAAAAAAGCCTATGAAAAGCCAAAGAAAGGTACCAGGGGCGTCTCATGGGGCCCCCTACTAACCCCGGGACCTCGAGCAGTCTCCGAGTGCTCTAATGGTCAGTCCGCCCCTGCTCCAGTCTACCCTCCAGTTTGGTCCACTTACACTTTAGTTCACTCTCCAGTATAGATAGACAGTAGAAGGCTAGGTTTACATCTATGCAGGTGGTGCCGCTGCGGATCCGCATGAAAATCTGTGCAGCCACACCACCTGCACAGAGGAATGCAGACCCGTGGGCAGGTGCCATTACTTCTAATGGCACGCTGCCCGCACTGGAAAACGTAACCGTACTGGGAACCGAGGTTCCAGTGCAGGCTGCATTTTCAGAAGTGCAGGGACTTTTTCCCTGCGTGTCACGGGCACGGGAGTCCATTCAAATGAATGGGCTCTCGTGCCAGCGCAAATCGTGGCCCGCACATCCGCATATATGTGAACCAGGGCTTACAGGACATCCTCCATTCTTTCAATGCTCCAGGCCACCCTCTGACCTAGTCTGCAAACAGGGGCGGACTGACCATTTGGAAACTCGGGCACTGCCCGAGGGCCCGGGGTCAGTAGGGGGCCCCATGAGATGTCCCTGGTACCTTATTCATAGGCTTTTTTGAGTCTTGGGCAAGGACACAGGGGCCCCATGATCCCCTATTGCGCCATGAGTTGTCAGTCCGCCCCTGTCTGCAATCAATACAGATCACCAGTTGTCAGGGCCATTGATAGAGGGGGTACAGGCAGTTTTTCCCATTGATCAGCTGGGGGGCCAACAGAGGCTGACTATGATAGGTGGGGGCCCAGTCCAAGTGTCTCTAGAATTGTTTTTTTTTTTTAAATGTTGGAAATTATGGTACAACTGAAGACTGAAGGCAAGGCTGGAGGTCGGCTTTAACTTGACTTTGGTCTTGTTTCACACCTAATAGAATTAATTTAAACTATATATTAGAAATGGATGATGATCATTGTATATCATTCTGAAAATCAGAATATTTTTTGAACCCGATCATTGGTAAAAGCTGCAGATATTTGCAGGACTGCAAGCCGACAGGGAAATCTCTCAAACCTAACACCGTCCCTGAACTCCGGGCTATTTGGCAGTTACATTTTGGATCAGTTTTAACACGGTATCTAAAAATACAAAGGCGTTTACACCATCTGCATGGAGATTCCTTGAACCCCTCAGGAGGAAATCCGATGTGTAAACATACAGCTTCTTGTAAATGACATAGTGAGGTGTTTCCAGTGCAGCAGTCAGGACAAATACTATAATGGCGGGCGTGGTTCCTAAAACTTCCTGATGGAGATCTAAGTGATTTTGGCACTATATTAAAATATTAATGATTTTAACCACTTGAACGCCAGAAGATTTTACCCCCTCCAGGTAATTTTTTGCTAAGCGGCAAAGCGCTACTTACAATTGCGCGGTCATGCAAAGCTGTACGGAAATAAAATTTAGATAATTTATTCACACAAATAGAGCTTTCATTAGATGGTATTTGATCACCATTTTTTTTAACCACTTCCTGACCGCCCAATTGCAGAACTATTGCTACAGGGCGGCAGGCCTGCGCAAAATCACGTCTATGTATGCGATTTTGTATTTCCGGGTAGGGTGTGCGTGGGCCGCCCTACCCACGCCGCCATTGGTGGTTACAGCTGTAGATCACCGGGTCCCAGCTGGAGATTCCCCGCTGGCACCCGGTGATCACCGACGAACACTGACAGGGGAAAAGTCTGTATGTAAACAATACAGATCTCTCTCCTCTCATCACCAGCATGCTGCTTTGTATTGTGCTGCATAGTAGAGCAATACAAAGCAGCATGCTTACACAGTAAAACAACACACAGTTAACCCGGTGATGTTAACCCCTTCGTGCCCAGTGTCATTAATACAGTGTCAGTGCTTTTTATTAGCACTGGTCACTGTATTAGCATCACTGGGGGAGGTCAGTGGAATTTAGTCAATTCCCCCTCCCCAGTGTCAGAATGCCCACCGCAGTCTCGCTATAAGTCGCTAATAGCCACCATTTCTAGTATTGTATCGTATAAAAAAAAAAAAAATTCCAGTATATATACAACGCCATTTATAGATGCTATAACTTTCACGCAAACCAATTCATTTACATGCAGGGGTAGACTGACCATTTGGAAACTTGGGCACTGCCCGAGGGCCCGGGGTCAGTAGGGGCCCCATGAGATGCCCCCAGTACCTTTTTCATAGGCTTTTTTGAGTTTGAGCAAGGACACAGGGGCCCCATGATCCCCTATTGCCCGGGGCCCCCTGAGTTGTCAGTCCGCCCCTGTTTACATGTACAGTATTGTGATTTTTTTTAAGCAAAGCCATGTAGCAGAATACATTTTGGCCTAAATTTATGACGAGATTTGATTTTTACATTTTTTTACTGGATATGTTTTATAGCAAACAGTCAAAAATATTTTTTTTTTTTCAAAATTGTCGGACTTCTTATTTTATAGCACAAAAAATAAAAACTGCACAGGCGATCAAATACCACCAAAAGAAAGCTCCATTTGTGAGAAAAAAAGAACATAAATTTCATTTGGATGCAACGTTGCATGACTGCGCAATTGTCAGTTAAAATAACGCAGCGCCTTATTGCAAAAAATGGCCTGGTCAGGAAGGGGGGTAAATCCTCTGGAGGACAAGTGGTTAATATATAAACAAAAGAAAAATTAAAATTTTGGGAAAAAAAAACAAAACAGTATTTTTTACTTTTTGCTATAAAACATCCAATAAAAAAAAAATCTCCATAAACTTAGGCCAAAATGTTTTGTGCCACATGTCCTTGGTTTTAAAAAAAAAAAATTGGTTTACGTGAAAGTTCTAGCGGTTGATTTACTAAAGGCAAATAGACTGTGCACTTTGCAAAGTACTCAGCCAAAGTAGTTGTTCCAGAGCTTAGTAAATGACCAGATGCTTTGCTGACTTCTATCATCCAATCACATGCAAGCAAAAATGCTTTTTTTATTTTTTTATTTTTCCTTGCACATGATTGGGTATTCTTTGCAAAGTGAAGCTGTACCTCATTTACTAAGCTCTGGAGCAACTGCACTTTGCAAAGTGCAAGGTCTATTTGCCTTTAGTAAATAAGTAGTAGTGTCTACAAATGACGGTATTTATACTAGATGATTTTTTTCTTAATACTAGTAATGGCGGTGATCAGCGACTTATAGCGGGACTTTGATAGTATGGCGGGCAATCTGACACTGGCTGTCACTGACATAGGCAGTGACAGTAATACATTGATCAGTGACACTGGGTAGGAAGGGATTACCATCTGGGGGCAATCAAAGAGTTAACTGTGTGCCTGCCAAGTGTTTATGTGTTTTACTATGTGCTGATTTTACTAAAGGATGTGACAGTTTTTATTCCCTGCTTTGCAAGGAGACAAAAACTACCACATCCCTGCTCTCAGTAGAGAGATCTGTGTTTTTTATCAACACAGATCTCTCTCTTGTCACTTGCTCCACTGACTGGCAGGTCCCGACCATGAATCGTGGGCGGGACCCACCAATCGGAATGTTCTGGAGCCAATGATAGCACAACCAAGTCGGCGAGTGCGCACCCCCTACTCGGAACTGCAAAATCACATATAAATGACTCTGAGCAGTTGGCCCGCACTAAAGCAGTGTATCTACAGTGCATGGTCACAAGTGGTCAAAGATTACTGAGCCATTCATAGACGAGCCCAATATTATTAAACCTTCTCTCAGTCGCGGCACCTTTTCAAAGTATGCAAAATCCCAAGGTAAAATGTAAAAAACATAAATGTTATTTATCAATGAAAATCCTGATCCTGGATGGCATACAACTGCTTTAATTAAATTAACTTTACATCATAAGTCTCCCTTTATATTAGATGTCCCCCTTCACATCAGAGGTTCCCCCTTCATGTCAGAGGTTCCCCATCACATTAGTGCTCCCCTTCATGTCGGAGGTTCCCCATCACATTAGAGCTCCCCTTCATGTCAGAGGTTCCCCATCCCCTTTATGTCATTCCCCAGAGTGCTCCCCTTCATGTCAGAGGTTCCCCATCACATTAGTGCTCCCCTTCATGTCGGAGGTTCCCCATCACATTAGAGCTCCCTCTTCATGTCAGAGGTTCCCCATCACATTAGAGCTCCCCTTCATGTCAGAGGTTCCCCATCACATTCAGAGCTCCCTCCCCTTCATGTCGGAGGTTCCCCATGTCACATTAGTGTTCCCCTTCATGTCAGAGGTTCCCCATCACGTTAGTGCTCCCCTTCATGTCAGAGGTTCCCCATCACATTAGAGCCCCCAGAGGTCTTCATGTCAGAGGTTCCCCATCACATTAGAGCTCCCCCCCCCTTCATATCAGAGGTTCCCTCTTTATGTCAGAGGTTTCTGATCACATTAGAGCTCCTCTTAATGTCAGTGGTCACCATACCATCAGATCTCCCCCTTTACATCAGGGTCCCTACTTCACCTCAGAGGTCAGAGAGGTCGGGGAGGAGATACAGCAGTACACTGGTCTTCCCAGTGATTAGCTGAGCAGAGGATATGTCAGGAAATGTCTGATAATTGGAGGAGAACAGGTTCAGTTCTCAGCACAGCCAGAAAACTGACCATGGTGTGCTCTCATGCCTAGTGTGGTCAGTTTTTAATAGAAAATCAAAGGGACTGGCTGGAACACCATTGATTTCACACAAAGGAAGCAATACAAAGAAAACAGGACACATTGTCATACAAGTACATGGTACAGCAGTCACATATCAGGAATATGAAATGTTGCATTACATATTCTTTAAAGTGATATTAAAGTCAATTAATAACAATAAATAAATAATAACAAAAAAAATGCCATACTTTCCTGCTGTGTGCAGTGGTTTTGCACAGAGCAGCCCTGATCCTCCTCTTCTCTGGTCCCCCACCAGCACTCCTGGCCCCTTCCTCCTGCCTAGTGCCCCCTGAGCAAGCAGCTTGCTATGGGGGCACCCAGGCAGGCTCACTTCCAAACTGCTGCTCTGCGTGTCCATTCATGCACAGAGGCGTGGCTTGGCCCGGCCCCTTCTTTCTCCTCATTGGCTCACTGGCTGTGATCGGCCAATGAAGAGGGAGAGTCCCCAGAGAGCTGAAGCTCTCATACACATTACAGGATCGCAAAGGGGCTCAGGTAAGTATTAATGGGGGGGGGGGGGGGTGATAGTGCACACAGAAGGTTTTTTTACCTTCATGCATAGAATGCATGAAAATAAAAAACCTTGAGCCTTTAAGAACCACTTTAAGTGTGGGGCATCAGTTCAACTGATACTAATTTTTGGGCTTAAAGTGTATTTAGAGATAAGCATTTTTTTACATTTCTGGATATAGTGAGGAAAGGTCAGACCTTCTGGTAAGTTTTTATTGTTGTCCCCCATTTTCTCAAAACAGTAGAGGCTGTTATACCTGGAAAAGGGTGGGGAGTACTCCATAATGATCCCCAAGGTTTGGGAATGAGTTTTCCAACAAGCTCAGATAGTTGTGATGATCAGGTGCCCACCAACGTTTTGGCCACTTAGTGTCATTTCTTTTGGAAATCCAAATTCATTCCCGTTTGCCGTTCCATATAATTGTTGCCAGCATTGTCCTTCAGCTCACTATCTATCCCACAACGCAAGCCGCCAGCTCTGACTTTGAAGCATCTTGTTGGTCACGTTAACAAATGGACTTCAGCTCTTACAAGCAGTAATGACAAATTAGTGCCACATGACAGCTGTAATAAATGACTAAGCAAAAGTACAAAGGATACTGAACATTGTTTCAAGGGCATATTAATTCTGGGAAAATTTGGATGAAAGAACGAGTGTCCGGAATATTTGTAGAACATTGCTAACATGGCAGAAAACATCTGCAATGATGTCATTTATTTGCGCTGGACACTGTTCAAGTACCAAAAAATATCCTGACCAAGATGAAGGTGTCTACGCATTTCATCTTAATTTTTTAATCACATTTACAAAGAATTTGTGGGCATTTAATAATATTTTTTTTTTTAGGTTGAATCAAATAATAAAAAGAATCCAGTGACTGGAAAACCCTTTCTTTCCTTTTCCAAGTACGGCATAAGCAAACTATTTTTAGTTGCCTTTTTTGGGGCATGTAAAATAAATGTCCAGGTAAAAGTCTGACAGAAAATTTTTGCAACCCCCCCAAAAAAAAAATATTATTGTAACTGTAAACATTTTTTGATGGAGTCTGGCTTTGGTTTGTTATGCCGGCCATACATGGGTCGAAATGTGACCGATTTTTCTTCTGATAATAGGACCCAAGAATAATTGGTCGATTTCTGCTCTGTTATTGGGCACTGGCCAATTTTAGTGGTTCCTCCCCTTTTCGATGATCAGGCATGTTGGAAAATTAGTGAAAAACGACCGATTTTCAACCCAATGATGGTCAAATCGTACAATCATTTTTCCGAAAAGAATATGCACACGAGCTGTGACCTGTAAGGAACAGAAGTTTCACCGGTTATATGGGGTGAACTTTATGACTTGGTTGGCAGATATTTGAAATCATTGATGGCACCATCGGATTACCAAGTGAACAACGTTTTTGATTTTTGGACAAAAAACTCGACCCATGTATGGCCTGCATAACACTACCCTCTCCACAGGATGAGAATGATGCTGTCCATCAGCTGTACTGCTCCTCCATAAATACAGTGGAGGTGCAAGTGTAGCCACCCTAAGACAGGAAGTATGTTACTGACTGGATCTCTAAGTGAAGATAACGCAAAAAAAACAACAACAAGAAAAAAACTAATGCAGCCACCACATCCAAGCATTGGTAAGCTGCAATATTTTACATTTATGTTTTTTGGTTTGGATTTTTTTAAGGAAACTCACACAAGGGGACGCAGACAGCAATAAAACAATTTTTTAAAGGAAGTCTAGCCTTTTCCACTCTACTAAAAAAAAAAATGGGAGAGCTCTGTCCCTGTTGGAGATATTTCCTCATTCCTGTCCAGGTGGACATCCAGTGAGGTAAGTAGGAGGAAGTCTTCCCAATGGGGCCCAAAGTCATCCCACTCTATAATCCTTCCCACTCTAAAAACTAAGGAAAAAAAAGCTTGGCTAGAGATACACTTTGAATTGCTGTCTGTCTGACCCAGTAAAAAAGATCTGTTTTGATCCTGGACACTTTTTACTGTACATTTTCCAAAGAACCAATTGTGGCCATTTTTTGAGTGTTTCTAACTGTATACAATATTGGAGCACTGAAGAGGGAGGGCTATTTAGTTCCCTAATGTCACCTTTGTCACCTGAGCATTGACTGTGTCTGATTGGCTTCCACCTTGGCCAGAGAGGCTAGGGTTTGATAGCTCTGAACCAG